ACCAGTGTCATAAAACAATATGTGTACTACCGTTTCATGAGAAACTATTTGTTCTGTAAGCCTTCACCTGAAGTACAATAAAAAGAAAAATAAAAAAAAAACAGAGTAGTTGGGAAGGATTATCTAAGAAGGTGATGAAATTGAGCAGATAATCTGAATTTATTGAAGATTTGGAGGGAGAATGTTCTAGGCAGAGGATCCAGCTGGTAAAAAGACCCTGAGCAAATCTATACAGACAGTAGATTAGTGGTGCCTAGGGCAGAGGGTGAGGGGTAGAATGGGGACTGACTGCTAATGATTATGGGTTTTTTTGAGGGGAGTAATGCAAATATTCTAAAATCAGATAGTGATGATGATTGGTCAACTTTGTAAATGTACTAAAAGCTACTGAATTGTATATTTTAAAAAGGTAAATTTTATGATATATAAATTATTTCTCAATAAAGTTGTATAAAAAACAACAACAACAACTGAGATAGGAATGAGTTTGGTGAAATGAGGAGTAGCAAGAAGGTCAACATGGCTAGAATAGAGTAGGGAGATAGGAGAGTGATAGATAATACCAGAGGGATGTGTTTATCTTTCTGGAGGCAAGTCAGTTCTCTCCACCTCTAGACCTATAGTTATACCTCTAGGCCCAACACAGTCATCTTTGTACTATTTCCTTCAGGACCTGAATTCAGCTAGTTCTTAGAAATGGAAAGTAATCCCATGAACTCATATAAAAGAGTAAATGATTAATTCTCAGAAATTTTCTCTTTTGAATAGGGTATTCTTGGAAATAAAGATACCTGAAACATGGATATCTTTCCTGTGGGCTGTGGACCCAGAATGTTATTGGAAAGGGTTTGTGAATTCATGTATGTACCGTGACATTGTCTGTAGTTCAAATAATAAATGCACAACTTTTAACATGAGGAAGGAGCTTGAGAATTTTTTGATATATTAAGAAGGGGTCCTCATTCTTGAAAATATTGGAAACCATTTGGTTAAACAGAAGAATTCCTTTTCTAGAGACATTATTATAGCTGCTTGTAGAAGACTGGTATGGGTGATGTTTTGGGGTGTACGTTGAAGTGTGGAGGATTTTGGTACTGTAAATACAGATTGTAGGCTATGACAATTTTCACATATGTAAAGCCAGCCCATGAGACAGATGCAGATTCAATTTATGATGATCTCTGTGTGGATTGCTTTTGATAACATTTTTATCCTCAGGTGACTCCATATATTTCTGGGTATCTTGTTACTTCTCCATACTACCGGAAGATAAAAAATACTGTTACTTTTTATTATCTCAATATAAAAAAAAAATAAAATAATCCCCAAGATATCAAGTCTGTTGTTACTAATTATTTTGGGAAATTCCTGATGATTGTTACTATTTATGGTTTTCTTTTCTAGTAGAAATTTGGCCTTCTAGACGTAACAGAATTTTATTAATACATTGATTTGGAAAGGGCCTATTTCCTTTTCTAGGAAAAAGGCATTGAAGTGATGTTTTCTCCCCATCCATGTCCTACCTGGACCCTTGATTGGAATAATCTTCCTGCAGCTGTGAGCCCAAAGGAAGGTGAGTTTTTTCTTTCTCCCTTTAAATTTTACTCACATTCTGGATACTCTCTTTAGATCTGTCTTTCAATTCTCTTAATTCTTTCTTTGGTGATAGCTAATATTCTGTGTATACTATCCATTGAGTTTTAACTTTTATAGTTATTATGAAAAAGTTCAGACCTACACATTACTCATATTTGATATTTTTCATATTTTGCTAAATTTGCTTCATCTACCCCCCCCCTTTTTTTTTTGCTTTGCTGAAGTATTTTAAAGCAAATCCCAGACAACACATGTCATCCTTCAGTATACATATCTAAAAATTATTGAGTCTTCTTACATAATCATAATGCCATTATCACATCTAATAAAAATTAATAAGTTTCTTAATCATCTAATACCCAATCCATAATCAATTTTTTCCAATTGTTTAAACAAATGTTTAAAAAATACCTTTTAAAGTTAGATTTTTAGTTAAATAATTATATTTTTCATTTCTACAAATGTATTCAGTTTGCTCATTTTTGGTAACATTCTTTCCCTTGTTTATGTTTCAGTTTCCTCTTTTTATAATTTTTATACATAGTTATTTCATTTTCTGTATTTGTTACTTCTCATAGCTGATGTTCATAGAGGTCTAATTCTGCTGTTTGTTGTTTCTGCTGATTTTCACTCCTAGTGTCTTATTTCCTTAGGAGTTTTGTAGTTTTAGATAGTGAATTCATTTTTTTGGGTTATCTAAACCTGTGGGAATCCTGAGAGGCCTGGTTAAGAATAAATTAGTAGAGAAAGAATTCATATTTGCTTATGCCAGGGATCCCAAGGAACTGGAACTTAAGACCACTTACCATTCGCTTTTGAGCTTGAGATTTCTTCAACTTTTCACATCTGGAGCTGAGTTTTATACAGATAAGTTACCTTACTTATCATCTTTCTTTGCTGAAGGGTGGCAACTATTTTTTAAAATACATCTCTTCATAGAGAATATACATATTTTTTCTAGCATTCTGGTTTCATGTAGTAATATTTGTTCTAACTCCACCATGCCAGGGATGAAGGACTAGCCTCTCTACTTTTCCCTGCTATTAAAGTCTAGGTCTCTATTAGCAGATATCTTCAGGGCCCGTGGTGACTGTTCAGATTGTTATACTGATTTTCAGTTCCTTCATTTTTTAAGGCCTTATGGATTTTTCTTACTGTCAGAAACCCAATTATGCATTAAAAAGATGCTTATGGAATTTTAAATACTATTTTAGGTGTAATTTTCAAATGCTCTTTGAAATAATTTACCTTCTTTTTTCATATTCTCTTCTGTGATACTTCCTAATATTGCCTGTATCACACCCATCAGTTCTATTCTGCCAATCAAGGAAATGATTTTTAATTATTATAAGTAATTTGGAGATTGGTGTTTTATTTTATGGCATTAAGATTGTAATACTTAATACTTAAATTCTGTCTATTGCAACCTTCCCCATGACCTTCATGAATGAGATAAAATGGGATACAATGGAACAATGGGAAAGGAAAATAAAGAACTACTTTATAGTTAGCTGGGTGTGGGCTGCAGGCTCTAATGTAGAAAATTCGGCCAAACTAGGGTAGAATATGTGGAGAATCAGCATTCCCCAAACACATTAAGTGTTAGACTACAGTGGTCATTGGTAGATTTCTCTTCCCACAAAGTCTTAGCTCTTATCGTAGTTTTCACAGAAGGAATAGAAAACCAAGTCACACCAATATATTGTAACAATTTTCTTAAACATACATTGACCTCTCCTACTAGAAAATGTGGCCTAATTAGTGTCCTGGAGCCTCATTAATTAATTAATTAATTAAATATTTTACTCACAGCCTACTGGGCACCAGATGCTGTGCTAGGTTCTGAGCATTTAGCAGCAAACCAGATAAAGTCCCTGCTTTTATAAGGGTGTCCTACAATAAATTTTAGTAGGATTTTTATTCTGGGGAGAAAGTAATTGAAGGAGTAGAAATATAAAGGAGGCATCTTTTTCTTTCAACTTTTATCATGACAATTTTCAAACAAACATAAAAAAATAGTATAATGAATACTCACAGACCTACCACTAGATTTAGTAGGTAACATTTTGCCATATTTTCTATATAAACACACACATACCTTTTTTTTTTTTCACCAAATCATTTCAGAGACATCAGAACATGTCACCCCTTAATTCTTTTAGGTACCTCCAAAAAATAAGGACATTCTCCTAGTAAATGAGCAGTAATTCCTTAGTACAATCTAATACTCAGTTTATATTCAAATTTTCTGAATTATGACTAAAATGTCTTTTATAACTTTTTTTTTTTTTTACCCAAGATCCAATCAAGGATCGTTTATATTTCTTCAAGTCATTTTTGTTCTAAACTATATCTACCTTTTTCTCCACAGCATTGATGTTTTGAACAGATGAGCTAGTTGTCTTGTGGAATGTAGATATTTTGAGTTTGTCTGATTATGTTCTCTTGGTGTCATGTAACTAGTTCCTCTATTCCCAGTTGTTGTTGTGTGCTGTTGAGTCGATTTCGACTTCTAGTGATCCCATGTGACAGAGGAGAACTGCCCCATAGGGTTTCCTAGGCTGTAATCTTTATGGGAGCAGATCACCGGGTCTTTACTCTCGTGGAGCTGCTGGGTGTTGACTTACAAGACATGAGAAGATTTGGGTTAAACAGGTTTTGCACAAATACTTCATAAGTGATACTGTATTTTTATTTCATCACATCAGGAGGTACATGATGTCTGGTTTGCTCATTATTTATTTATTTTTCTCTTGGAGAGGCTGTTGCACAGTCTTCCCCATTTCAGGAAACGACATCACCGTTCACCTAGAAACTCAGGCTAAAAACCTGGGCGTCATTTTTTTTAAAGGACTAAACTAAGCATATTTTAAAATACAATATTTTTTTCCTAACTCCTCATTCCTCTGTTCCCCCAGTCCCTGGTAACCACTAATCTTCTTTCATCTTGATGTATTTGCCTATTCTAGATATTTCATGTAAGTAGGATCATATAATATTTGTTCTTTTGTGTCTGACTTATTTCACTAAGATGATGTTTTCAAGGTTCATCCAGGTTGTGGCATGTATCAGAACTTCATTTCTCTTGTGAGTGAATACATTTCTGTTCTATGTATATACTACATTTTGTTTATCCATTCATCTGTTGATGGGCCTCTGGGTTGTTTTTACCTTTTAGCTATTGTAAATAATGCTGCAATGAATATTGGTGTGTATGTGTCTGTTTAAGTCTCTGCTTTCAATTCTTTTGGGTATATACCTAAGTGTGGAAGTGCTGGGTCATATGGTGATTTTATGTTTAACTTTTTAAGGAACTGCCAAACTGTTTTCAACAGTGACTATACTATTTTACATTCCCAGCAGTGGTTGAGGGTTCCAGTTTTTCCACATAGTTGCCAACACTTGTTATTTTCCAGTTTTCTTGTAGTGGCCATTTTAGCAAGTGTGAGATGGTATCTTACTGTGTTTTTGATTTCCATTTCCCTAATGGCTAATGAAATTGCACATCTTTTCATGTGTGTATTGGCCATTTGTGTATTTTCTTTGGAGAAATATCTGTTCAAGTTCTTTGCCTATATTTTAATTGGGTTATTAGTCTTTTTTTGTTAAATTTCAAGAATTCTTTATATAGTCTGAATATTAAACCTCTAACTAATATATAGTTTCCAAGTATTTTCTCCTATTCTGCTGGGTTGTCTTTTTGCTTTCTTGTTAATGTCCCTTGATTCACAAAAGTTTTAAATTTAGATAAGGTCCAGTTTATTTATTGTTTTTTTCTTGTTATTCATGCTTTTGGTATCATATCTAAGAAACCATTGCCTAAAAGAAGGTTCCTGAAGCTTTACCCCTATGAAGTCTTCTAAGAGTTTTAGGGTTTTAGCCCTATGTTTACATCATTGATCCAGTTTGAATTAATTTTTGTATATGATGTGAAGTATGGGTTCAGCTTTTGCATGTGGAGATACATTTGTCCCAAGACCATTTGTTTGAAGAGACTGTTTTTTTTCCCCATTGGATGGAATCAACACTATAAAAATGGCATGGCAGCGTCAGACCTCCTCATCTAACTTCACAAGAACGGGGTGGGCGGGGGAGGATAATCAAGATCAGCATGAGCCCAAGGCTGCTTCCCATGAGGTGGAGGTCAGGTATACCTCTACTCTCCAACTGTTTTTTTTTTTTTTTTTTTAAACCAATTCTGATACTAGCCGTCCCTCCCATGGCACTCTCTACTTCTGTGCTAGGTCCGAAAATTTGTTGCAATGGCCACATGGAACTCACAGACAATACTCACGATTATGGGATGTATTAGGGAAATAATAGGTTACAATTCAGGATTAGGATCAACTTGGAAGTAACAGGAACAACTCAGGATACAGTTCTTTGATCAGGATAGCTTCTTCTTGGCTATGTTGCAGGCGGGTCTCTCTCTTGGCCCTTTGCCCTCAGCCTGGCCTCTGCCCCGCTTGGATAAGTGTTAAAACTGCCCAGAGGCACCAAACTCCACCAGAAAGCCTCCTGCCCTAAGGTGCTCAGCTTTCTCGCTCCATGGGTCAGCAAGCCTACCTCTGTCAAGTGCTCGAAGGCACCCCACTCCACCAGCAATCCCCCTACCCAAAGGTGCTCAGCTCTTTCGCTCTGTGAGTTGGCAAGCCTAGACCGCTGGTCCTGTACCACTGCCGTCTCGCACCATCTTCAGTGTTATAGCTCTATCTCTGTCTCCTGGGTCAAGGAGGTTCTCAGCTCAGGGACCCTGGGTCCAAAGGATGGGTTCTGCTCCTGGCTCTTCTTGATGGTAGTGAGGTCCTCCTCCAACCTCTGAGATGGGCTGTTTTTAAGTCTAGCAGTATAACAAAATTGACCAATTCCCTACAAGGGTTCCATGCACCTTATTTGCATTAGCAAAACTGTCTAATCCCCTTGGTGGGCCACAGGCACTTTATTTACACAGCCCCATCCAATCATTTTGTGGAATTTATAAGACCATGGCTAGAGGACCATATTAAAGCAATTCACTGCACTACAAACACTCTTATCAAAAATCAATTTGCCATTGATGTATAGGTTTATTTCTAGATTCTCAATTCTATTCCATTGATCTCTATGTCTGTCCTTATACCAGTACCACACTGTTTTGATTAATGTAGCTTTTTAATGCATTTTGAAATCAGTCAGTGTGAGTCCTCCTACTTCTTTTTTGTTTGGTTGTTTTTTTCAAGATTGTTTTGGCTATTCAGTGTCCCTTGCAATTACATATCAATGTGAGGATCAACTTTTCCGTTTCTGCAAAAAGGCTGTGGAAATCTTAATAGGAATTGTGTTGGATCTATAAATCACCTTGAGTAGAATTGACACCTTAACAATATTAAGTGTTCCAATCCATGAATACAGTATGTCTTTCCATCTATTTAATTCTTCTTTAATTTTTTTCAGCAGTGTTCTACAGTTTTTAGTGTAAAGGTTTTTTATCTTTTTGGTTAAATTTATTCCTAGGTATTTTGTTCTTTTAGCTGCTATTATAAAAGGAATGATTTTCTTAATTTCCTTTTCAGAATGTTCACTGTTGTTATATAAAAACACAACTGATTTCATGTGCTAGTCTTATATCCTACAACTTTTCTGAGTTCATTTATTAGCTCTAGTGGCTTTCTCATGGATTGTTTGGCATTTTCTATGTATGATGTTGTGATCCGCAAATAGAGATAGTTTTACTTCTTTTCCAATTTGGATGCTTTTTATTTCTTTTTTCTTGCTGTCGTCTTAGGCTAGGTTCTCTAGAGAAGCAAAACCAGTAAAGCATATAAATATATACAGAGAGAGATTCATATCACGGAAATGTCTACGTGGTCATAGAGGCTGGAATGTCCCAAGTCCATGGGTCAGGATAGAGGCTTCTCCTGATTCATGTAGCTGCAGGGGCTGGCGAACCCAAGATCAGCAGGTCTGATAGCAGGGCTCTTGCTCACAGGCTGAGAAGATTGAGGAATCCCAAGATCGGCAGGCAAGACAGCAGGTAAGCTGCTAGCCCAAGTCCCGAGAATGAGAGGTCAGATGAACAGGAGCCAGGTGCAGGATCCAGAACGAGCAAAAGCCTGTGAGCTTTTGCCAGAAAGTCCACTTATATCTGATGCAGGCCACACCCCCAAGGAAATTCCCTTTCAACTGATTGGCTACTTACAGCAGATCCCATCATGGAGGTGATCACATTATATCAAATCGTATCATGGAAGTGATCACATCATCGTACAACTACCAAACTACATCATAACTGCCAAACCGCTGAGAATCACGGCCCAGCCAGGCTGACACAACCTTAATGATCACGCTTACCTAATTGCTCAGTACAAGGTTGAATAGCAGTGGTGAAAGCAGGCATCCTTGTCTTATTCCTGATTTTAGGGGGAAAGTCCTTCACCATTGAGTATGATGTTTGCTATGGGTTTTTCACAAATGCCCTTTATCATGTAGAGGAATCTCCCTTCTTTTCCTAGTTTATTGAATACTTTGATCATGAAAGACTGTTGGATTTTTCAAATCCCTTTTCTGCATCAGTTGAGATAATCATGTTATTGTTTTTTGTCCCCCCCCTTCATTCTATTAATGTGATGTATGACATTGTTTGATTTTCTTATATTGAACCTCAAAGTGACATCTTTACTTTTTAACACTGTAAAGAGGTCTTTTGCAGCAGATTTGCCCAAAGCAATACGTCATTTGATTTCTTGACTGCTGCTTCCATGGGCATTGATTGTGGATTCAAGTAAAACGAAATCCTTTACAACTTCAATACTTTCTGTGTTTATCATGATGTTGCTTATTGGTCCAGTTGTGAGGATTTTTATTTTCTTTACGTTGAGGTCTAATCCATACTGAAGGCTGCAGTCTTTGATCTTCATCAGTAAGTGCTTCAAGTCCTCTTCACTTTCAGGAAACAAGGTTGTATCATCTGCATATCACAGATCATTAATGAGTCTAGTTTGTAGTTCGTATGTATCTAGGAATTTATCCATTTCATCTATCATACAATTATTCATAGTATTCTCTTAAACTTTTTTGGTTTCTGTATGTTTGGTAATAGTGTTGCCACTTTAATTTCCGATTTAGTTACGTGTGTATTCTTTCTTTTTTTCTTTGTCAGTCTAACTAAAGGTTTATCAATTTTGTTGATCTTTTCAAAGAACCAGTTTTTGGTTTTGTTCTCTCTATTGGTTTTATATTCTCTATTTCATTTACCTCTGCCCTAATTTTTATTATTTCCTTCCTTCTGGTTGCTATGGGATTTGTTTCCTCTTCCTTTTCTAG